CATCACAGAGGAAGTTAGGAGCACACTATATTTCTGTTGTTCCGTCACGAAGGAAGTTAGGAGCTAGAGCTGCAGCTAACGATTATTTTCAAAATCGATTAGTTAGCCGATTATTAGCCGAGCAGTCTTCCAGCAACTTGCTTCTGAGATCGGACCTGTCTATCAGCGGCTGTCATCCCCCCACACCTGCTCCTCCTTACTACATCTCCCCGCGTCCCTGTTCCAATCGTGGATGTGGGCGCGCAGCGTGTGGAGCCGTGAACAGGGCCAACTGATCGGAAGCCGATTAATCGATTATTGAAAAATTTGACAACTTTTTCAATAATCGATTATAATCGATTATGTCGATTAGTTGTTGCAGCCCTACTCCTGGCCACCATGTGTTTGACCGCACTGAAACCCACGGTACTGTGTGCTGCGTTGTGGTTGGAAACAAAGGCCCTACTTTATTCAACTACACCACAACACACTGTATTGTGGTACCGCACGTTCAGTGCAGTCTAATGCATTGTGGCCAGGGGAAATGCGTTTTTCAGTGAAGCCGGCCACGACGTGGTACAACCACATTACACTGTGCTGTGTCTATAGAACCTAATGAAATGTCATTTGTGACATTTCAATAATGTTCTAACAAAAAAAAGTGCAATGTTCCGGGATCGGTGCACTGTGTCTGGGAAAACACACCTGCAGCTGTGCGTTGTAGTGCAGCTGCTGGTGTGAATGGGCTAAATGGTGAATAGGGGTCCAGATATAGACTGTGTGACTGTTCTGTCTGGATCGGGATTCGGGCCTCGGCTTGATGAAAATTTTGCACACTGGACCCCTTTTGAATTTTAATTTACTACCCCTGATCTAGGTGCATACACCTCCTGTGAGCTCAAGAGGTTCAAATTATACAGCCAAAAACATTGTTATTCTTTAACCCCTTAGGTTAGGGTCACTCCCAGACGTTTGCAGTCTCCGCACATTTTTGCGCCTTTTTTGCTTTTAACAATGTGCCTCAATGCTCGTTTTCTCCCTGCATAGTGATGGACAGGCGATTTTTATAGCAAGTTTATGGGAGTAAAACTGTGCGGGATTCTGCTCAAAAAGGTTCTGGCATCTTTTTGCGCGATGATGGTTTTTCTAGGCACGACGTAACAACAGTTGCCATTGACTTTATGGAAATGTGTGTTTTCACGCGCAGAAAACCTGAGCACAAAACGTCTGTAAAATGCAGTGCAGCACATGACCGATGCTGATCAAATGCATACTTTTTGTAAAGAGTTTATCTTTATAATATTTACAGCGCAGTCAAGGGGCCCCATTAGTTTACACAGTCCTGTTTGGAGCAACGCTGGACAAATCTCAGGAGCCAATGCTCCTTGCAAATTACAGCCGACGCTTGAATTTTGGGGAGTTGTCAAAACAGGTGCCAAAAACAAAAAACCTGCTGGCTCCTGAATGCAGTATTAATTTGTCCACCACTGGTTTAGAGAAATTGAGCTTTGTTTAAAGAAGACCTCCGGGCAGAGTAAAACTTAACCTTTGCAGTGGGGCTATTCCTGCCGTGCAAGGGTTAAATGCGTGTTTTCATCTAGAGTCTAAAAAAATAAAGATATTCTCGCCCAAATCTCGGTTCCTGCAGCCTCTCTCCTGCTCTGTTCCAGTAGTCTAAGGATCCGGGTCATCATGTCAAATAGGCCATTCACACTGAGAGTTTAATCCCGCGATTTCTGCCACGATATTACGCATATTTGCTGCGCGATATCGCGAGGCGTTGCTCGTCCAATGGTTTTCTATGCAGCTCGCTTGTGCAGGACCCTTTTTCCCCGCGGATGTCATGCGATTTTTCTTTTTTTGTAAATTTGGAATTTAATATATCCCCGGCTTATAGGGCAATATAATTCTCCTATAATGCCAGTGACAGATCACTTATATTTTCCACCAGGAATGCACAACACGAGTTTTCTTACATGCACGAATCAAGCAATTTTAAAACTTAATCACGTATGTGATGGACACAGAATGCTCTCAATAGCAGAACTTCGAGCACAATGGGGGACTTATCCCTTTGACACATGGAGATATAGACAATTATCACATTTTATGTTGTCACTACCAAAACCTTTACGCACAATTTCTGAACTTACACCAATAGAAAAATTATTTGATTTTATTGATCCACCGCGACATGGTATTTCCCAAATATATAAGATCCTATTAAACCAGCAACCGAATATACCTCTGCGGTATATGACACAGTGGTAGCAGGAACTCGAGATTACTTGGACGGATCTACAAAAACTAAAATTTTTACATCTTAACACTTTTTCGTCTATTAATACCTTAGTGACTGATACAATGTATCGTTTCCTGGCTCGATGGTACTATACACCTGAAAGAATGCATACAATGTATCCACACAGATCGGAATTATGCTGGAGGAACTGTGGTAACACGGGAACCTATGCCCATATATGGTGGTATTGTCCCGAACTTCAGCCTTTTTGGTCCCAGGTAATAGAATTGATTGGAGAGATTACAACAATTGTATTACCCTTGGAGCCGACGGTATGTCTCTTCAACCTAATGGACCTGCCGACTGCAACCTATAAAAGATCATTGTTACGCCCACTACTTAATGCAGCTAAAATGATGATTCCACTATATTGGAACAAAAGTACTATTCCATCTATGAGAGAGTGGTTTAAAAAAATAGAATATTATCGACTAATGGAGGAAATGACATCAATACGGAGGGATACGTATAAACAATTTGAAAGTACCTGGCAACAATGGACTGAGTTTAAAAAAACCTCGAGATATATAGAGAATATAGGATAGAGGGGCTGTATAGTAATAGAATAGATTGATTATGGGCTGGGATAATTCACAGGGCGATTTTGATGTGCTCTAGAATAAGATTATAATGAAGGAATATCATAGGGTTGCCGGAATCCCCTTATATGGTGGTGTAGTCTTGTTTTTGTATATGTGTGTTTTTGGTTTTTTTTTGGTGTGTGTTTTCCCCTCCCTTTTTCTTTTCTTTATGCTTTGTTTCAAAATTATTAAATTGTATTTGAAAGTATGAGTATAATTATAAGGGTGTAACACTGTGTATGTTAGAACAATGTGCTGTTTATGATTTTTGTAAAAAATAATAAAATTAAATATTTAAAAAAAAAAAGATTTGGATGAGTACATCTTTGTTATTTTAGACACTAGACAAAAACGCACACTTAATCCTTGCAGTGTAGGGATGGTCCTACTGCATGAGTTAAGTTGTCTTCTGCCCGGTGTTCTTCTTTAAACAACATCCCTTCAGACCAAGCGCAGCTTCCACAAAGCCTGGCCAGAAAAGTAGCATTCAGAGCAATCTGTGTCGTCCTGCATAAAAGCTGGGACAGACTGTCCATTGGGCATGCCTCCAGCATTAAAGGAACGAGTGCTCCCCCTTATCCACAAATCTACACATGCGTAGTGAGCTCTCCTTCCCTCTGTCACAGCAGGGCTTAACTGTTGTGATTTGTAAACGTAACGGGACCCCTTGACTTCACTGTAAATGTTATTTTAAAGGTGAACTAACCCTTTAAGTACAGAAGAGGGAATGGCTTCATGTTTGCAGCCAGTGATTTGCACAGATATAGGCCACCTTAATGACTGTGCCCTAGATATGCCCATCAGAACTGTTCAGAATTCAGACCTCATTAACATCTGTATTTTGTTTGTTTTCAAGGATATTCGAAAATTTTTTGGAGTAACCTCAGTTGTCAAGAAAACTTCTAATGAGAAGACTGATAAAAAAGAGAGATCCAATGAGAAGACTGATAAAAAAGAAAGATCCAATGAGAAGACTGATAAAAAAGAGAGATCCAATGAGAAGACTGATAAAAAAGAAAGATCCAATGAGAAGACTGATAAAAAAGAGAGATCCAATGAGAAGACTGATAAAAAAGAAAGATCCAATGAGAAGACTGATAAAAAAGAGAGATCCAATGAGAAGACTGATAAAAAAGAGAGATCTAAAGCCTCTGAAGAAGTCACAGAGTGCAAGAAGTCCAAAGATAAGGTGAGCAATACTTTTATACTTGATCTTTTTGTATATTAGTACACAGTTGGTGTACTTTCTTGCTTTGTGTGTGTGGCATTGTTGTTGATGGACTGCAGTGTCAGGGACAGCTGAGTATACGATTGTGGGGAGAGAAACCTACAATACAATTAGTCTGCTTATGCCATGTTCAAAGTATATCTCTATGCTATATGTTTTGGTTGGCATGGGTGAGGTTTAGACCCTCTGCCAAGTTTTTGTTGCTGTCTGTGGTCCCATTGGACCACACTCTCTAGTTTACTCTAGTTTGATAGCTGTTGTCACTGAAACAGAAAGTGAGCAGAAATCCAACATTTTAAAGTTGTCCCCAGAACAAAAGGTAAGGGGGAACCTTCTAATGGGGACAGCTGTCTAAACCAGGGCTGAACAAATCCCAGGAGTCGGGTAGCCAATGCTCCCTAAAAATTAAGCTGGCACCCTACATTGAGGTTTTCTCTAGTTTAGGGCTGCAACAACTAATCGACATAATCGATTTTGAAAATAATCGTTAGCTGCAGCTCTACGTTCAACCCATGGGCTGAACAAAAGAAGTAGAGCAAATGCTACCAACGTCTTGCCTGAGGAATCTCCCGCTGTTTCTTTTGTATTCTGACAGCGGGCGCCGGTCACTGTCAGAATACCTAAACACGGTCAGGAGCTCGTTGGCTGCCACCTCTGTTCATACGAAGATTTTCTGACCGCCTCCTTTGATCAGCTGATCAAGGAATGCGGCCGAAAGGTTGCCACTGTGAATTTCGGACGGTTCCTCAAGAACCAGCTGAAATTCTCAGTGTGTGGAGTTCCACTCACTTTGGGAAATTAAGGCCTCATTCACACTAGAAACGGCCGGCAGGTAGAGCTGTGTGCACGGCCGTATCGGGCAGCTCCCGGGAAGGACAGGTGCTGCGTGTGATTAGTAAGCAGCCCCTGTCCTACGCGGCTGTATGTCGCCCTACGCTCACCCACCCTGCACGTCGGTTCGGGTGAGCGTACTTGTATGCTGACAGGATGGATCTTGTCTGAGCCAGGAAACATGCACCCACACGGACCTGCACTTGAGGTGAGCGTAGGGGGGGTGGTGTATGGCTTCGTAGTCCCATAGAGAAGGACAGGGACTGCGTACTATTCACACACTGCACCTGTCCTTCCCGGGAGCTGTACGTGTCGGCCTTTTCTAGTGTGAATGAGTGCTAAAGGTGAAAGTCTCTTTTGAGTGAGATCTACGATCTAGAAATATTTTGAGCCTTGCATTATTGGGTTGTTTTGTGACCTGTTTTTTTCTTTCAGTTGCAGAGTTCAGCCAGCGACGAGGATGTAAAGAAAAAGCAGCAAATTAAGAAGAAGAGGAGGGCAATCTTTGACTCAGGTCATATCTTTATCACATTTGTTTTATTGATCTACATTCTTAGCTCGTCATATGCGTGCGTCTTAAAAATGCACTTGATGGTTGTAGTGGACACACTTTTGGGTAATGCAGTAAAAGAAGACACCATGGGAAGAATTGATCAAAACTGGAGCAGACGGAATCTGGAGCAGTTGCCCATGGCAACCAAACATTCTCTCTCCTCAGTTTGTTCATGCAAGATTTGAAAATGAGAGAGGGAAGCTGATTGTTTGGAGTGCAAATTTGCTCCAGATTTTGTCCGCTCCAGATTTGATACATTCCCATCAGTCTGTATTAGCTTTTAGAAAAACGTTTTTTGCATTGCCCATTCACACCGGATGCGTTGGTCGGTTCTAATGCATAGCCAAGCAAATTGCCTTGTTTACTATGCAGTCAGTTCACATCACCACAGTATGTTCAGTAAACATAGCGCACACACAATAGCCCAGTGGCCATGCGGTAGTGCACGCTGCTGGTGTGACTGGAACCATACAGCCAAGTCTGTTTCAGTTTAGCTGGTACCTTAGTGGTCGGCTGGCTTTGTTTCAGTGAACTTTCACTTCCAGCCGTTGTTAGTGTGACTTGTATTTTACAGTGGTCAACAGAGCCACAAATATCAGATGTCTCGGTCCTGCCTGCTAGACTAACCCCCGCATGCCTCTTCTCCCCATGGGCCCCAGCGGTCTAAGCTCCACTGAAGTCATCGTGTCTAATACAGTCCATTCTCCTGTATTAGACGTGAGTAGGCCAAGGAACATACCACAATCTGAGGGGAGGAGAGAGGTCACTGCCACAGAAATGAGGCTTGTGTGAGTATTTCTTCTTTATTTGAGCTCTTAGAGAAATCATGAGCAGTTAACCCTTGCAGTGCGGGGGTAACCCCTGCACTGCAAGGTTTATTTTTTTCTAAATCCTGGAGTTCTTCTTTAAAGTGATATTAAACCTCGTTCTCTAGTTGGCCCCCTGCATTGTTCTCCCTCCCGTCCCATGTTGCGGATGCTTCCATCAGCTAGCCGGCTACTGAGGAGGCACTCCTGTGTGCGCGTTCCCAGCTGTGTCCACAAGTAACTGTGGGCGTCCATAGATGCACACCGCTTGTGGCAGGCCACGCCCCTTCTCTCCTCCTAACAGATTGACAGACAGCAGCAGGAGCTTATGGCTCCTCTGCCCTCAGTATCCTCCCAATCAGGAAGTTTGGGGAACAGAGGATAGCTTCAGGGACTGGCAGCGGTGACGAGTGTTCCAAGGTAAGTGTGCGGGGGACAGAGGGACACAAAAAGGTAGTGGGTGTTTTTTACTTTAATGCTGACAATGCGATAAGGAAAAAAACGCCTAATCATCAAATGGCTAGAGGATAGAGCCCAACCATTATACTCCCTTTTAATTAAAAGAAACCTTTTAAAAAAGAAAACTGGAGGCTGCGACTTCTAACCGCCTTATCTGAAAATGCTAGTGGCCTGGCTGTAATGCACACTCTCGTACTTGCTGTGACTCAGGCCAGGTATGCAGTTAGACTACATTTTCTCCGACTTGCGTACTTGTTTCAGATCAGTGACTCAGAAAGCATTGGAGGCAGTGACAGGAAGGTAGCTAGCAGTGGCAGCCCTCCATATTTTTTGCAAGACAGGTTGCTGATCCCAGCTAGTATTGATGCTGAAATGCTCCAATGTATCTGGGGTTGGCGTTAGAATGCTGAAACCACTGAGGATTTTACTTTTAAATAGGATGCAACCGTTTGTCCAGTGACCCCTAATAACTGTCCTTTTCAAGTTAATCAAAACCTTTTAAAATGCTTAGAGCGTGTCTTTATTGAATGTTCTTGTTTTAATTAACATGCAGTGATGACTTGTGTCCTCAAGTCTGATATTGTGAACTGAACTTAAAGTTTGATATTCTACAGATTCTGAAGATGACACACCACCTCCTAAGAAGTCCAAAAAACCTCAGGAGATTTCCCCACCCATCACGAAGCCTCTCAAAGTTAAAAAGCCAGACCCCGTTTTCTATGTCTCAGATACAGGTAAATGGTCAAAATCTTTCTTCCTTCCTTTTTTTCCCCCCAGTATTTCCAAATTGTTTTTTATTAACATTTTTTTCTTCTTTGTCATAACTACATTCCTAATAAAGTTGTCATTTAAAAAAAAAACGTTTATATCTTCCCTGTAAGGATAAACCTTTTTCTTAATGGAAAGTGTTGGTGCTACATTGGTATCTCATGGATGGCACAAACTTCTGCTCATCTGTTAAATCAGTAAAATGTACTATTCACTGTAGAGTAAGAGGAAGTCTAGACCCGCCTTTTTCAACCCTTTCATCTAGGGATGCACCGATACAAGCATCGGTATCGGCGGCGATACCGAGTATTTGCATGAGTACTCGTACGCGTGCAAATACTTCGATACAAAAAACGAGTACCTGTGCCGCGTCCGCCATCTTCAGGGACCTGGATCCGCCGCACACAGGACCTCCATCGCGTCTTCAATGAAGCAAGATGGCCGCAAACTCCTCCTCCAAATCCTCAGTCATCTGCTCCATTCTGACCTCTTCTCCTGCTGATTGGATGATTGACAGGCTTCCTCACCAGTCGGGAGTGACTGGTGAGGACGCCTGTCATCATCCAATCGGCCAATCAGCAGGAGAAGAGGTCAGAATGGAGCAGATGTCACAGCCTAGTCATCTGATCTCTTATCCCGCTGATTGGCCGATTGGATGATGACAGGCTTCCTTCACCAGT